TCTTGGTTGTAGGTTTTTCCCTTTCATCACTTTAAATACGTCCTGCCACTCCCTTCTGGCTTGCAGAGTTTCTGCTGAAAGGTCAGCTGTTAACCTTGTGGGGATTCCCTTGTGTGTTATTTTCCCCTTGCTGCTTTTAATATTTTTTCTTTGTATTTAATTTTTTTTTTTTTTTTTTTGCGGTATGCGGGCCTCTCGCTGTTGTGGCCTCTTCCGTTGTGGAGCACAGGCTCCGGACGCACAGGCTCAGTGGCCATGGCTCACAGGCCCAGCCGCTCTGCGGCTTGTGGGATCCTCCTGGACTGGGGCATGAACCCGTGTCCCCTGCGTCGGCAGGCGGACTCTCAACCACTGCGCCACCAGGGAAGCCATGTATTTAATTTTTGATAGTTTGATTAATATGTGTCTTGGCGTGTTTCTCCATGGATTTATCATGTATGGGACTCTCTGTGCTTCCTGGACTTGATTGACTATTTCCTCTCCCATATTAGGGAAGTTTTCAACTGTAATGTCTTCAAATCAGTCCCTTTCTTTTTCTCTTCTTCTTCTGGGACCCCTGTAATTCGAATGTTGGTGCGTTTAATGTTGTCTCAGAGGTCTCTGAGACTGTCCTCAATTCTTTTCATTCTTTTCTCTTTATTCTCCTCTGTGGTAGTTTTTTCCACTATTTTATCTTCCAGGTCACTTATCCATTCTTCTGCCTCAGTTATTCTGCTATTGATTCCTTCCAGAGAATTTTTAATTCATTTATTGTGTTGTTCATCATTGTTTGTTTGCTCTTTAGTTCTTCTAGGTCCTTGTAAATGTTTCTTGTATTTTATCTATTCTATTTCCAAGATTTTGCATCCTCTTTACTATCATTACTCTGAATTCTTTTTCAGGTAGACTGCGTATTTCCTCTTCCTTTGTTTGGTCTGGTGGGTTTTTACCTTGCTTCTTCATCTGCTGTGTGTTTCTCTGTCTTCTCATTTTGCTTAACTCACTGTGTTTGGGGTTTCCTTTTCGCAGGCTGCAGGTGCGTAGTTCCCTTTGTTTTTGGTGTTTGCCCCCAGTGGGTGAGGTTGGTTCAGTGGCTTGTGTAGATTTCCTGGTGGAGGGGACTGGTTGCTCTGTTCTGGTGGATGAGGCTGGATCTTGTCTTTCTGATGGGCAGGACCGCGTCCGGTGGTGTGTTTTGGCGTGTCTGTGGCCTTATTATGATTTTAGGCAGCCTCTTTGCTGCTGATGGGTGGGGTTGTGTTCCTGTCTTGCTAGTTGTTTGGCATAGGGTGTCCAGCACTGTAGCTTGCTGGTCGTTGAGTGGAGCTGGGTCTTAGCATTGAGATGGAGCTCTCTGGGAGAGCTTTTGCTGTTTGATAGTACGTGGAGCCGGGAGGTCTCTGGTGGACCAATGTCCTGAACTCGGCTCTCCCACCTCAGAGGCACAGGCCTGACAGCTGGCCAGAGCACCAAGACCCTGTCAGCCACACGGCTCCACACTCCGGAAGCCCACACTCCAGAGGCCCTCCTTTCGATGTGCTTCCTCTCCCCACTGCACAGGTCCTAACCAAATGACATTATTAAGAAAGTGGAAAGACAATCTACAGAATGGGAGAAAATATGCAAACCTGAGAAGGGCCTAGTATCCATAATACATTAAAAAAAAAAAAACAAAACCTCTGGGGCTTCCCTGGTGGTGCAGTGGTTGAAAGTCCGCCTGCTGATGCAGGGGACACGGGTTTGTGCCCCAGTCCGGGAAGATCCCGCATGCCGCGGAGCGGCTGGGCCCGTGAGCCATGGCCGCTGAGCCTGCGCGTCTGGAGCCTCTGCTCCGCAACGGGAGAGGCCGCAGCGGTGAGAGGCCCGCGTACCGCAAAAAAAAAAAAGACCTCAAACAACTCAACAACAAAAAGAAAAACAACAGAATTAAAATATGGGCAAAGACTTCATTGGACATTTATCCAAAGAAGATATACAAATGGCCAACAAATATATGAAAAGATGTGCAACGTCATTGGTCATTAAGGAAATGCAAATCAGCCACAGTGAGATACTACTTCACACCCCCAAGGATGGCTATAATTTAAAAACATCCCAAACGCAGAATATGACGTGTTGGTGAGGATGTCAGACCCTTGTGCTTTGCTGGCGAGAATGTAAAATTGCATAGCCACCGTGGAGAACAGTTTGGCAGTTCCTCAGAAAGTTAAATATAGACTTACAATATGACCCAGCAGTTCTACCTCTGGGTACATACCCCAAATAATTGAAGACAGGTATTCAAACAAGTACTTGTACACAGATGTTCCTAGCAGCACTATTCACAGCAGCCAAAAGGTAGGAACAACCCAGATGTCCATCAGTGGATGGATGGGTGAACAAAATGTGATTTATCCATACAATGGAATATTTTTTAGCCATAAAAAGGAGTAAAGTACTGATGCAGTGATAATGTGGAAACACCTCAAAACATCATGCTAAGTGAAAGAAGGCAGACGCAAAAGGTCACATATTGTGTGATTACATTTATGTGAAATGTCCGGAATAGATAAATTCATTGAGACAAAGAGCATATTAGTGGTTGCCAGGGGCTGGAGCAGGGGGAATGGTAGTGACTGATTCATGAGTACAAGGTTTCATTTGGGGATGACTAAAATGTTTTGGAACTAGATACAGGTGAGGGTTGTACAGCATTGTGAATATACTAAATGCCATTGAATTGTACACATTAAAATGGTTAATTTTATGTTATGTGAATTTTCCCTCAAATAAAAAAAATTGCATCATATAGTTTTTGTGATCTCATAAATAACTGTGGCTTTGCTGTCGTGGTTACCTTGTGACTGTTGGAATCCATGTACTTTGTAGCATTAATACATTGGGAAAGTTCTTTCCAGCTGTGGGCAAGAAAACACGAAGACAGATGATCCCAAGTGGGTTTCGTAATAGAATAACAGTAAGGAATATAGCCTTTTCTTTTTGACTTGTGGAAGCTGTTATAACTTCTACCTTGAGTGGGCCCTTGGTTGTTTTAAAATGTGATCTGGACTGATAGGATTTGGTCTCTTCATTTAATTTGAAAGCGCGTGTTTAAAATAACTTTATATTATTTGGAGATGGAGCAGCTTTTGGTTTTATGAAAATTAGGAGTAATTTTTCAAGAATGTGAGATATACATATGGAATTGCAGTAAGATTTTTCTGGTGGTTTGCTGTGTTGCACTGCTAGAGACTTCTGTGACACTTTCGAAAGCCATTACAAGTGCTTTTTATTGTAAGTGGAATTGGTGTCAGGAATAAGAAATTTTTTGTGTGTGCAAAAACTAAAATCCTTAGTTTCTTATTTTAATCTTATACCTGTTTTGTTTTTTGAAGGAGGGACTTTAAGTTAGATTCTAGCAACAAGATCTGAGCTTGAGAAGAGCGTCTTAACTCAGAAAGGTAGAAGTGCTTTGCCAGTGATCATGAAGCTTTTCTTTATGTATGGAGTTGATGCTTCTGCCTCAGGGTCATGCTTCTGCCCCTGTGTTGTGTGTAGACTTGTTTCTCAAGCAGATGTTATTTATGCTCGTTGTCTTGCACGCTTCCACCTGGCTCCTCTCATGACCCACAACGTGCCATCCAGGCTAAGGGTTTGCAGACTTGAAGCAAACAAAGCGAAGTGGTTTGTAGTGGATTGAACCCACAGCTAGTTAAAGCTGTTAGAGCAGTGCCTGACACAGAGTAAAAGCTTGACATGTGTATGCTAAAGACATAAGAATGATGGGGAAAGATCACTCGGTGCCGCCCTGGGTCTTTCTTGCAGTGCGCGGCTTCTCTAATTGTGATGCATGGGCTTAGTTGCCCCGCGGCATGTGGGATCTTAGTTCCCTGACCAGGGACTGAACCCACATCCCTTGCACTGGAGGACCACCAGGGAAGTCCTCAGGGTGCTTTTTCGAGGGGCAAACTTGTTTACATTCAGATATTCATAGTCCCTACTCTCTCGTGTACCCATGCACCGTTTGAAGTTCTGAAACCCTCTGGTATACTCACTTGAGGGCCATTTTACTGGGCATCTCAACCAAAGAGAATGCTTTGGGAAAGAAATAAAGAACTCAAAAGCAGTGGTTTTTCAACTGCTTCCCAAGTAATTTTAAGATCATGTGAAGCATTTCTGGTTGTTTGTTGAAAACATAGTTACTGTCTCATTCATTAAGCAAGAGCTACCATGTGTCTGTCATTGGGTAGAATGGGATGACATAGGGATAAGGGTCAGAGACAAAAGATGAAGATAACATAACTTCTTAGCCCGGAACTCAGTCTAGACCATTTTTTGTACCTCTAGAATCCATGTCAGGAAAACCCCAGGGCTTTGAATGGAAGTGCATCAGAAAATAGCACATCCTTAATGGTACTCACCCTTGAAGTTGTAAGGCTACGCATCAATTAGTTTTTTAAAATATTATTCGTTTATTTATTTATTTAGTTGCGTCGGGTGTTAGTTGCGGCAGGTGGGCTCCTTAGTTGTGGCTCGTGGGCTCCTTAGTTGTAGCATGTGAACTCTTAGTTGCGGCATGCATGTGGGATCTAGTTCCCTGACCATGGATTGAACCTGGGCCCCCTGCATTGGGAGCGAGGAGTCTTAACCACTGTGCCACCAGGGAAGTCCCACACATCAGTTAATTTGATCATTTCTGCTAAGCCGTCTCAAACTTAGCCAGGAGAGAAGGATGGAAACTCATTGGTGGAAAGAGATTTTAATGAATCATCTTGTTCTGATCTATCATCAGAGACAATCAAGTTTGCCTTTTTTCCTTTGATATTTTTCAGTTATTACTAGCATTTTTAATCATTTAAAATTGCTAGTTTGTATTTTAGTGACCTCTTCTTACTCTCCCCACCCCCTTGGTTTTTCTGTTTGTGTATAGTTCTGGTGAAAATGAGTTAGGAAAGGAGATTGATGAGATTGGATAGCTCAGCATCCTAGAATACACTTCATCTCTTTTCTCCTGAAGTGAGGATATGTCGCTTCTTTTGCAGGACTGGATACAACTGCAGAAGCAACAAGTGAACCTTTAAAGATGCATATGGGGCTGCACAGAGAGAAGAGAGAAACTGGAGAAACCAAGGAAGTAAGGAAAAAGTATGTTTCCTGGGTAAATAGTACACTTCTGAATTTAGGTTTCTTGCATATCAATTACCATTACTTTGTCATGCCTAAGTCTTTATGGCTGTATTTAATCTTTGTATTGCTGTTAAACATTCTTTATTTTCTCCTTCCTTGATTTTTATTGCTGAGCTCTTTGATCAAATGATTCTTTTAATCATTTGGATTAATCATTTGGATTAATCTAAAAAAATCTGTATTGAATATACAATTTAGGTGACTTCTTAGATCACTTGATAGGAACCTGTTATATCTTAGGTTGACCATTGGGTATTATAAAAGAGTTGTGTGTTGTGTCTCTTGTGATGTGCAGGTTTAGTTCAAGGTCAGTTTTTTAGCCTGAGTGCAAAACATACTTATGCTTTATTAAATGACTGACTCAAAAAACACTGGTTTGAATACCAAATTATCCAAGCCATGTTCTCAGGCTATAGGATGTGCGGTACTGCTCTCTGGAATATGAAAATTAATACTAAAGACAAAGCTGACTGGCCAATAATTAATGTAAATAGGCATAGCCTCCCCTTGATGAACTAGATGTGCCCTAGTAAAGTTATATACTCGTATATGTATATACATATACACATATGTATATACATATATGAGTTGGGAACTCAGTTTATTCTGTTACTGAGCCACTCACAGGCTTAGATTTTGAGGGGTTTTGTTGTTAAAGTTTTTTAAATAAAGGAAATTTACTACCTTATTTATCATTATAAAGTTAAGAACCTTAATAAGTAGAACTTTTTGGAAAGAAAGGGGAGGAAATGGAGTCAGGGTCATTGCTGGTATATAATGGAAGTTCTGTGCACAGCAGCCTGACTTGGATAACTCCATGGCAACATCACTCCCTCCCCACAAGCCTGGGCCACCCAGCCCATGGGAATTTCCTCACAGCTGTCACTTGTGGAACTTCCTGTCTCATGGTGGATTGTGGCAGGCCTACTGTTAGATAGAAGGTATATTCCAGTTTTCTCATTCTTTAACTTTGAGTTGGAAGGTGGAGTAAAAACTATTTAATGGCCTTGTATATCAATCCTCTAAACTAAAAACGGCATAAGACAAGTTTATTACAAGTGCACTTGTGCACACATTTTCTAGTGCTCACCTTCACACCGACTCTGCGTCAGTCACACTGATCTCCTTACGGTTCTTCAGTCAGTCGTGGAATCTTGTCCTCCCAGGTAGCCACGTGGCTCCTGGCCGCCTTCTCGTTCAGGTCTCTGCTGTGGGGGCAAAGTGAATGTGAAGGCCAAAGCCAAATTGGAATCACCAGGAATTTTCTGTGATGTCAGTCTCCCTACCTAGCCCCTGGCAGCACTGAGCCACCTTGCCTAGCTCCAGCTTCCCTCCTTTCTCCCACTCCACTCCTCCTACCTATCAAATGTGATGTTTTGTTTATTCTACACATCATGCTTTTTCTATTTCACCTTTAAGATCTTTTAAAATTAATCTTTCACTTTCAAAGGCACATACCATTTGACTCAGCAATTGCATTTCTAGGAATTGATCTCACATGTAACCTCGCACAGGTATGCAAGTAATCTTGAACCTCCTCAGCCTCTGTTAAATCTTCATGCATGCTTCTGATTTCAGTAGCACTTGGACTGAGACTAATTATCTCTTGCTGCCACTGTTCCGTTGTTGCCATGGGTCATGTACCTGTCCAATAACTTGGGCGGCTGCCTGCCTCTTTGCCTGAACTGCAGGCACAGGAGCTAAGTGTCCCCTTTTGGGCTTCTTCTTTTGCACTCCTGTTGCCTTACAGCAATCTTTCTCTTCCCATTTGCGAATATTACAAATGGTTTTGCGTTGCGTTTTTTAGACACTTAGATAATTACGTATAGAGTAGTGGTATCTCGACTTAGCTGAACATTAGAATCAACTTAGAAGCGTTATAAATTACTAATGTCTCGTCCCACCACCAGAGATGCTGAGGCAGTTTGTCTGGGGTGAGTTGTAAGCATTGGCATTTTAAAAATCTGCCAGGGTGATTTTCACTGCGGTCAAGTTTGAGGACTTTGGTCACTTTACGCTCATCGTAACCATTTAAGTGATTCCTTTGGGTTTGCAAGTTACAGTGGTGTTATATATATTAAAAATTTTGCCTCTTCCTTTATTGTATTTGTATTTCTTATTCGTTTTCATGTTGCTTTGTATTGGAAGGCATTTCTGATCCTATATTAATTAACAGTGATGATAAAATGCTTCTTCACTTTGTGCCTGTTTTTAATGACTGCATGTCTCATTTCTTCCTTGAAGTATACTGTTGACATTTGGTTTTAAATAGTTACTCTAAAAAGGGTAAGAAAGTATACCTTTATTATTAGTTTTAGAATTTTAAAATTAAGAATATCTGTTGGAGTTTAACAAATGAATTTTTGGTATCTGATGACATGACACAATTTAAAATTTTAACCTATTCCTAGATTCTATTTACTGTTTTTTTTTTTAATTTTTGAGCATAAATTTTGAGTAAGCTTCATCTAGTTTTCTCTCTTCATTTTCTCTGCCAGTTTTAGAATTAGGTTCATAGAATGAACTAGATAACCTATATCTTGACCTTTTTTAGATATGTTTTCTATAATATGTTTTGTTTGTTTGTGGAGAGTTTGAAATGATCCACTAATAAGCCATCAGGGGCGAGTTGCTTTGGGGGCAGGGGTGTAGTTATTTATTTTTTCAAAGATGTTGGTCTAGTTAAGTATTTTAGAATCTTTGTTTTCTAACAATGCTTAAAGCAATGCTTGTCCTCTGTTCTTTTTTTTTAATAGTCTATAAATTTCTTGTGCAGTGATTTTGTTATATTTTCTAATTTCATTATTATTTCAGAGCTCTGTTATTTCAAGCAGAATGTTGTCGGATTTTGTCTTCTGTTCAACCAATCTTGAAGATTCTATAACTTATGTGTGAATTTAGCATCTTTAATTTGTGGTTGCTTTTGCATTTGTTATGTTTTCTACGTATAATTCGTTTCTTAATTTTTGTATTGCTTAGTTGTCTCTTTCCTGTTACACCTTCTGTTTTATGGAGTGGCCTTTTCTTCTTTTTAACTTTAAGACAAAATTTAAACGTGAACAGTTCTCTTAGTGCTAAAAATAACATTTGTTCCCTAAATTTATTTACTATCATCAAAGCAAAAGCAGGAACTTTCCTCTCCTTCCATATAAGGAAACTCAGTTTCTCCCTGTTTTGGCATCCCCTCTTCCTACTTCTCATCTACCCCAGATATTTTTACCCTTCACATTTTACATTTGTTCTGTGAGGTGCACTAATTCTTCTAGGTTTCAGCCTGATACTCATAAGTATTTTGTTATTCTTGATTAAGTTAGTTAACAACCACTGAAGCCTCACTCTGAGCTGGACAGACACTGAACTAGGTGCAGGAGATACAAAGAGAAAGGTAGCTCTGTCCTTGCCTTCAAGGTCCCTTTCTGGTTGAGGAGGTGGCATGCATGCAAACCCACAATGGCGAAAGACGTGATGTGTCAGGTGTCCTGGAGACACAGGGAGGGAGGGAATGATGTTTGGTGAGTCAGCGAAGGCATCCTGAATGCTGAGTGTTACTGTGCCAGTAGGGCTTTGCGGGATAGAGGATAAAGCGGATGGGCAAAAGCCTGAAGGTACCTAAGTGGCTGGAGAGGAGACTGGACAAAGGGTTGTTGGGGCCAGATTGCGAAGCACCTGGAATGCCTGGCCAACAAATTTCGGCTTTCTGCGGCCCCACCAGAAAGGTTTTAAAGCCGGGGAGTACTCTGTTCAAGCCTGTTTTTAGGAAGATAACTCTGGCTGTCATGTGAGGCACGGACTGCAGGGAGGAAGTCAGTTGAGCAGCTGTGGCAGTCATCCAGGTAAGAGATGATGAGAACTCAAACAAGGTGGTAGCAGCGGCGATGGAGAAGATGAGGTGTTTTGAGGAAGAATCTAAAAATACTCGTTCCTGACTCAGGTGAGATTGGGATTAGAGGATGACTTAGAGGGTTTTCTTGTTTGTTCGTTTTAGGGAAGGTAATAACAGACGGTGGAAATATCGACTACCTTATATCACGGGGTGGATGTTGTGGAGGGGGTCGCAGAGACTTTGGAGAGAGACAGAGCATTTTAGGACTTCCTGAGTTTAAAAAATTGTCAACAGATCTAGGAAAACATATCTAGGAGTAATTGGAAATATGAGTTAGAAACTCAGTTGAGATGTAGGGGCCGGAGATAAAGGTTGTGAGATATACTTGCTCCAAGGAGGAGGTCAAAGCCATGGAATAGATATAAAGTTCCCCCTGTCAGAGCATGTAGGCAGAAAAAAGGGCTTAGGTTGGCCTCCTGGCCAAGACCAGTCTTTATGTGCAGGAAGTCAAAATGTACTGAGCCCTGTAATACATGTCCTGCACGGGGTGGTGAGAGCTTTTTCAGATGGCTTACTTTATCTTTTTAATAGCCCTGTGTGTGGAAATTATTACTACCCTACTTCGTGGGCCAGGAAACTAAGGCTCCAAGGCATTGTTACTAAGCTAGTAAGTGGGATTGCAAACCAGGCCTGAATGCCAAGCTGATGCTAGAGGAAGAGGTAGGGGAGAAGCAGAAAAGACTGGTGTGGAAGAGATGGTTTCCTACGAGGGGCAGTGGCCACTCACCCAGAGGGTCCAGCAGGATAAGGAGAAGGAGAAGCTCAGCCCCTGGTTTTCTCAGTTAGAAAATTGATAGTGATTCCACCGTGCTCAGTCCACAGGGTGCGGAGGTCAGCTCACACTGGAGTCAGACCAGCTGAGGAAATGCAGACAGCGCTGTTGACCGCAGCTCTTGGAGACATCTTGGTGGTAGAGGAATGACAAGAGCATCTGGCCTAGGGGGTTGGCATCATTTTGTTTGTTTAGAGATGACAGCTTGAAGTATTCTGATTCACTCATCTCTTTTCCTTTGAGGTCTTATATTTTAGATCGCCTTGTCTCTGGGCTTCTGTTACTTAAAAAAAAAATCAAAAG